TAGGAGGCTTAGGTTCTTTATCCCATGGACCTCTCTATAGAGTGTCCTCACAACATATAGTTGGTTTCTCCCACAGTGAGTGATTCAATAGAGCAAGAAGGAAGCTGCAACACCATTTATGACCTAGTCTCAGGCCAGGAACACCCATGACCATCACTGTCATATTTTATTTGATAGAAGTGAGTCACAAAGTGTAGTCCACATTCAAAGGGGCTTTCATGAGTTTTTAAGCCAGGGGCTCATGATTCCTTCTCCCCTCTGTCTCCTCGGCTTGGTGAGAGAAATGAACACATTACACTCTTCAAGGAACTGGAGTAGAAGTAAAAGAGCCCATCACATCCCCTGCTTACTTCAGTTGCCTTGTGCAACAAGCCTGGCAGGTAGTGATGGTGGAATGGGGAGAAGGGGATTTGAATCAAACACAGCATTTTGGTTTTAAACTGGTTTGATGTTTTTTTTTTTTTTTGGTACCGGGGATTAAACTCAGGGACATTCCATCATGAGACATATCCCCAGTGCTATTTTGTATTTTTTATTTAGAGACAGGGTCTCTCTGAGTTGCTTAGCGCCTCGCTGTTGCTGAGGCTGGCTTTGAATCTGCAATCCTCCTGCCTCAGCCTCCAGATCCACAGGGATTACAGTTGTGTGTCACCGTGCCTGGCCTGGTTTGACTTTTTTTTTTTAATATTTATTTTTTAGTTGTAGTTGGACACAATACCTTTATTTATTTTTATGTGGTGCTGAGGATCGAACCCAGGGCCCCACATGTTCTAGGCAAGTGCTCTACCACTGAGCCACAATCCCAGCCCTGGTTTGATTTTTAATAGCTGAAAAAGACCTAACAGGAAAGTCAGGAAAATTATCCAAGAAATGAAGGCATTTGAAAGGCAAAATATGCTAAACATAAAATATGTTTCAAAGCAGTGATAAAAGGAAAAAAAAAAAAAACTGCTTTAAATTTATACCCCATGGAATTGAGCCTGTTCAGTAATAGCTAATCTTATAAAGTCCTCACTATGGGCCAGGTTCTTTTCTAGGCACTTCATAGCCACTCACTTAAACCTCTGAAGTAAACACTATTATTATAACCATCACCATTTTACAGAGGAAGAAATTGAGGCACAGATAAGTTGAGTGATTTATTCAAAGATATAACTAAAACTAGCATTTGAATCCTGGCATTCTGAGTCCAGGGTTTTAGCTACAAAGCTATACTGCCACAGTGACCAACCACTTTCATATGGCATTCTATGCTGGTGTGGTTTTCTTTCTTGGGTCTTTTGAGGCTGACATTTTCTTTCCTTTCTCCTCCTTCCTTCTTTCCTTCTTTCTTTCCTCTCTCCTCCTCCCTCCCTTTTTTTAAAAAACATGTTTGACATAGAAGAGATGAAAGTGTTTTTATTCATTTTCTTCCACCAAACTCCTAAAAGACATTAGGATTTGGTCCCTTGCCAATTTTCATTGTCTATGATTGTGGTAGTCATTGTACTGCTCAGAGACAGAACTCTTGGTCAGAGAAATAATATCTTGGGTTTTTTTAAAAAAAGATATGACTGCAATTTAAGATGTGTTCAAGGTGCAAAAGAAAATCAGTTTAAGTGTTGAGACCAACATTTCTGTACTTTACACCTGTTCATGGTTAAACTTAGTGCCTGGAGGACAGGGATAAAGGCTTTGAGTGTTTAAAATGAGATACTGGACTGGAATTTTTAAAATGACATTTTCCCAAAATGGTACAAGCTTTAAATGAAAACATGTAAGATCTGACAGTCTGCTTTAAGTTATGAGCAGGGCCAAGGAATTACTAATTGCTACCTTTTCCTCCAAACACTACAGATTTACACATTGATTTGTTTCTTAAGCTTTTCTTTCAGATCCTGATTACATTATGAGGTTTAGGCCCAGATGGGCATTTCATAAATACTTTTTGACAATCAATGAATAAGGCTTATTTAGTGTTCTAGACTTGTCCCACATATACCCAGGATAAAAATGTCTTACATCTTGATTGCCACTTGTTTATTTATTATCGAGAGCCATAATGAGTAGTACTCATGGGTTCTGACATCTGTAGCAGGATGCTTTTGTGGCATCTAATAGAAACTCTGACTCAAACTGTCTAAAACATATGGGAAAGGCAGAATATATTTAATTAGGCAAATCAGCAGTGTCATCAAGAGCCCAGGTTTTTTTTTTTTTTCTTCTTTCTTTCTATTTTTCAACTCTGCCTTACTTGGTGTGTAGGCTTTGATATAACTCTGGTTTTCCTCTTAGCCACAAAATGGCTGCCAGTGGCAACCAGGGTCCTTGCTTCCTTGTTCTTCCAGCAGAGCAGAGATGGAAAAATCTTTTTCTCATACCATGGTATAGTAAGATTTTTCCTTCAGTCTAATCATGCCACACATGGATTGACTGAGACTAACTGGGACTTAGCCCCTGGAAACATGAAGGGGCTTGATACCTGAACATAGCAGGGGTTCTTTTAGAAGGAAGAAGGCACAAATAAATGCTGAAGAGGCTCTGAAACTGGTTCTTCATCTGGAAAATGTTTAGAATCTTACAGAGAATTGTGAGGATTTGAAATGATGTGTGTAACATTATAGGGTCCTCAGATTTAGCAAATAAAAATAGAGTATGCCTAGTTAAATTTGAATTTCAGATAAATAGCAAATGATTTTTAAAAACACTACATTTTCAACAAACACTACAAATTTACACATTGGTTAGGTTCTTAAAATTTTCTCCTATAATCCTGGTTGTATCTGGAGGTCTAAGCCCAAAAGGGCATTACATAAATTCTTCTTCAACAAAGATTAAAAGGCTTACTTAGTTTTCGAGCCTTATCCCACATGTAGCCAGGATAAAATACATGCTAATATTAAAACTTATTGTTTATCTGAAGTTCAAATTTAACAAGGTGTTCTGTATTTTATCTGGCAGCCCTAAATGTGTGTAGAATTCTTAGTACATAGAAGCATTCATTTAGTGGTAAGGATTAGTGTTCTTTCCACATAAGAAAAGAGCTCAGGAGCTCAGTTAAATGGCAGCATGATATTTTTTGAACTCTTACTAACTTCTAGAATGGCTAGTTTTTGCCCAAAAGAGGAATTAATGGAACTGAATGTGGCTCTAAAAAACCCTTTACCACTACTCAAAACCAATTCAAAGGAAATGTCCCTAAGTGGCAGGTCATATTTGTACATATGGGGTAGCACACTATAAAACATCTAATGTTACTACTTAAAACTACGTTGGATTTATGTCAATGGATATTTGGTTAGTGTTTTTTTCCTTATCCTGTTCTGAATCTATACAGATAAACCATTCTCCATTTGACCCAAAGGTAATGCTGCTGAAATTTCTAGTGCAAAGGCACTGACAGGGGTGAAAATGGAATGATTGTCTCTGGAATTCTGGCTCCACGTGGGTGAAGCTTGAGGTCACAGCACTGTTACTTTTGCATCTGGAGGAGGCAGGAACCTCTGCAAAGCCTTCTGCTGTTGCCTCTCACTCCATTTTCCCTCACTGCTAATTTCATTGCTCCTACCTGTAAAATTTTCTAATATTCTTCCCGAAAATCTGAAAAGAAAGCAGGTACCTTCATTTCCTCATTAAATATTCACCATGTTATAAAAAAGAAAACCGTATTGGTCTGGCATTGAATGGCCAAGTCCCTCATATTGCTACATATCCTTACCAGATTCAAGACAGGAATAGATTTAATGGATTTTATCCAAGATATCTATTTCCTATTGTAACACTGGATATTTCTAATGTGGTGGTTGGTAGGACCTCATACACTGCCTCTTCTCTGTGCCTTTCCTAAAAATCAGAAAACATTTTTTTCCCTCTTTGCCTTTTAAAGTGGAAATCATTATACTGCTTTACGTAGATTTGCACGCAATGTTTAAATTTTTTTTCTTAATTTTCAAAAAGTGTCATGAGAAATATATCTCCTTCCATTTCACCACCTCTTCATTCTCATTGGAAATTTGATCCATGGTGGGTATTAAGATCTTTACATTTCTACTGGCGGGGCGATGACTTCATTGCTTTCTTGCCAGTTGGGAATCATGTGTGAAGAGCATCGGACCGAAGTAGAGCTGTGGGTTGCTGCTGTTGCTACTGCAGCAGCCGTTTGCGTGTGCCCAGCAGCTGTGAAAGAAATCCTCAGGATGCTAGTTCTTTGCTCCTAGTCACCCAGGGGATCGCAGTCTGCTGGATGATTCTGTGTGTGTGTGTGTGTGTGTGTGTGTGTGTGTGTG